TACAGCGGTTGAGGTTATTGACAATGAAAACGATGTATAATTAATATTATATTTTTATTTTACTATATTTTTCAATGAAAATTAATTATATATTGCTTAATGTATTTCACTGTAATAAAACATTCAATAATATAGTCACCACGTATATTAAAAAAAAAAATACATTATTATAACATTGTAAAAAATTAATTTTAATTGTTTAAGTATAATACGTCTATACAAAAATAATTAGAAATATTTTTTTTTTAATAAATTGTAAGTAATATTTGTATTGAATTATTTTTTTAAATTTAAACAAATATTTCTACGCGCCGCACGCCTGTATCGTCACAACCGCTGTACACACTTAGCGGTAGACTGCTCGAAAGGCATATTTGAAATATTTGGGTCCACGTTTTTAGCAAGATAGAAAAAAATTAGCCTTGTCAAAATATTCTAACTTGTACTCGACGGTTTAAAGCTTATAAAGCTATTTGTAGAATTGCAATTCATTAAGTAGTTTTTTAGAAAAAAAAATCCTAAAAATCACTAATTAAGACATTTTTTCAACAAAAAAATGCAAATAACTCGAAAGGAAGCATTTTTCGAAAAATTATCAAGAGAGAAAAAGTGTTTATTTTGATGAGATACATCTAAAAAAATTGATTCCGAAGCAATTCGGTGAAATTGCTTTTTTGTATAAGTTATTTGTTAATAACAATTGCCGGCCCACTTATAAAAATTAAAAAAAAAATACATTTTATCTTGGAAAAATATATAGAATCGAATAAAAAAGGTTTGGTGCATTAGAAATGCAAAAATAATTTTAGTCGGTATATTCTGTTTCTAAGCGTCTTTTCGGGGGTAAACCGCTCGCCTAATATAAGCGCCTGAAAATTTAACATGTTAATTTTCTCAAAAAAGACAAAATGCATGGTTACAACAGCAAATTTACTAAGATGTAAATTTGAGCTGGAAGGTCAGATAATAGAACAAGTGATTGAGTTTAAATATCTAGGCACATTATCTAGCTACGGAAATCTCGAACTCGAAGTGGAAGATCAAGTGAATACAGCAAACAGAGCCACAGGCTGCATGAATTATACAATATGGAGAAATAAAAATATCGGAAAAAAAACGAAAATCAGAATGTACAGTTGCGGTCACTGAATAGTTTACAGGTTCACGTATCTAGGAGCCCATTTTTTAAATTTTTACTTCGTTTAAACGCACCTTTTACGTCAAAGTGACGTTGCCAGTGGTGTACTAGCTAGAATAGGTAGATTAAAATATCAAAATATTTTACAAAATGAAAAATATAGAAAACAGTTTTTTGAATAAAATGGATTATGATCTTAATAACGAAAATAAAGAAGTCTTTTTTTATATGCATTTTATTTTAAATCTATTTTATATTAAATAACGATAAACAATGATAAATAATAATTAATATTTGGTGGAAGCCCCATTCTTGTCAATACAATTTTGCAGTCTTCTGTTCATAGATAGCACCAATCCCCTCATGTTATAGTTAACAAGCTCTTCCCATGCCTGCTCAATTGCTTCCCATAATTCAATTCTATTCCGTGGTCTAAGGTTTCTTTCATTTAGTTTCTTTGTTAACTCTGCCCACACATTTTCGACGGGTTAAAGTCTGCACTACGGGAAGGCCACGGAAGAACATTAACATCAGTTTCTTCTAGCCATTCTCGAACAATTCTACTCGTATGCACCGGGCAATTGTCATGTTGGAAGATAAAGTCGTTGTTGGGGAATCTCTGGATCGCCGATGGCAACATTGTGTGCTCAATAATATGTTTGTAATATAATCCTGTTAACTTCTCCTCTACATGATAACAAACGCCCGGGCCTTCGGCACTTATCCATCCCCATAAGTTGACAGAGAATCCTCCACTATTTCTTAAATGATGCGTATACTGTTCATCATACCTATGATTTCTCGGCCTATAAACTCTTATTCGACCATTATTATACGACTGAAATACTTTTTCATCGGAAAATACAACCCTAGACCAAAAATTCTCATCGCGGTTTATAAATTCATTACAAAATTCAACTCGTCTCCTCTTGTGATCCTCAGTAAAAAAAGGTTTCCGTGCAGCTACACAATTTAGCAGTCCACTTGCTTCAATTCTTCGACGTGCAGTGCGAATACTGCCTGGAAACGCTGCCTCTTCTCTTGCCTTTTGAGCTGTGGCAAAAGGAGATTCTCTCAAATAATCTACTAACATCTCATCCTGTTGATCTGTGGAAATCTTCTGCCCTCCTGAACCGCCCAACCGTGCAATAGAGTGAAAATTATCCCATCTTTGTTTAATCTTCCACATGCACATATGACTCACGTTCGAATCAGCAGCAACTTGCTTTAGTGACCAACCTTCTTCGAGTTTGGCAATTGCTCTTGCTTTTTGCGCATAATTCAAATGTATTCTAACCATTTTGGAAGAGTTTAATATACTTTTATTTTATTGTTGAACACTCGCGAAAGCATTGACGTTTTGAAATTTTTTGACTTTGACATTTATCAAATCCGTACGACACTGCAATTTTACAGTATTACAATATAAAAAGTAAGGTGTAAACTATTCCGTGACCGCAACTGTACAAAACAGTCAACAGACCAATAATGACATAGGCGGTAGAAACAAGATCTGACACATAGAGGACAAAAAGGATGTTAGAAACAGCAGAGATGAAAACACTTCAAAAATTGATGGTGAAGACACTATGGGACAGAGCTAGAAGTACAGATATACGACGTAGATGCAAGGTGGAGAAACGATCATATAAGCCGAATGACAACAAATAGAGCAAAGACTGCAAGAGACGGTTCCCCAATAGGAAGACGATCAGTAGGAAGACCACGAAAACGGCACAGCAACTTACTGGAGGCACATTGGAAAACAGACACAGTCATGTCTATCTAAAAAGAAGAAGAAGTAAAAAATGACGTTTAATCTTTTACATATTTTGTTTATTACATATTTTTATTACCAAATGCATCAACAGCAGTAGTTAGATACCTGTATCAAAGAGTGTCACGAAAAATGCTCTTTATTTGCAAATCCAAACATACAACAAACAACGACTTATTAAAAATCACGAAACATATTTCAAAACACTGAAAATACTATCTCACACCATAACCACAGAATAATAAACAAACAGAATACCCACTCTCCACGGAAAATTAAGTACGCGCATCTCCTCCGCGCAGACGTTCCGCCATGTTTTAGGAGGATTTTAAAGAAATTAGTGTTGTTTATGTGGTGTGCATGGAAAAATTAACCAGGTTTATTTGACTTACGGCAATCATAGACATACTATACAATTATATTAACATTGTTAAATATAATAACATAAATATAATATAATTAAACATAAATATAAACAATTACATAACCACACAAATCATATGTCTGTGTCCTCCTAAAACATGGCGCGCGTGCTGAAAAACTTCAAAGGCGGCATCTGAGAGTGGCCCTTCTGATTGTTTATTATTCTGTGCCATAACATACAACAGCTCGATGCATCGACGTGACGTAACTGCGCGTCAAAGACACGTTTTTATTCCAAACATAGCATATCGGTATAAGTGTATCGTGATTAAAACATTATTCTGTTAAAGTGCTTTCTATATTGAAATAAATATTCTTAAATTCCAATAACATTGAATTTTTTTTTAATTTCATTTTTATAAATTCTTTCAAAAGTATTTTTGTATCTCAATATCGCCGTTTCATTTACAACTGTATTTGATTTAAAAATTGTAAATTAGTAAATCCACAATGGGATAAATTAAAAATAAAAACACTCAACCTAACCAACATTAAATAACGTAGGATGTGGTAGGATTTAGGATTTGCATCGATGTGACGTCACTGAAGATGCGCGTCGGCATACCGGTATAAGTGTATCGTGATCTTCCCGTAGCACAAAATCGGTCGTGTTCGCGCATACCGTCATTGGAGAGTAGAATTTGAATTCTTGTTAAAGTTAAATGGGATTTGTATGCATTCTGTGATGAAATTATTCAATTAGCAAAATAATATTAAATGACTTTTTTGTGTTATTTGTGTACAAAAGATAATATAATATTTACAAAACTATAAGAAGAAACTAGACAAAAATAAGTTAAGATGTTTAATAATTACAATAATCGTACACATAAGGATATCTCCAAACTATTTATTAAAGATTATTTATTGATACATACAAAAAACTGACATGACTAACATGCAACTCTCCCATTACGTCACGACTAATCTGCAATATCTTATCTTCTTAGTCATAGTCATAGATAAATAATATAATTGGTGATAGTATCATGCTTCTACCAATATTTTCACTTAATGTGACTAGCCCATTGCCCAACATATTATTTATCTATGGCCCAACCTTCCTCCTTTACCCCGTCTTGAAACCTGCAGTGACGCCGTGAGCAATTCAGTTGTACAAGGTTGTAATTTATTTTTTTTTGTAATTTTACATTAAAAATTAATTTCTAAGCATTATTTAAGTACGATGCACATTATTGGCATCTCCAGCGGCCATATTATAATCATGACAACTTTTTCATTTTTTATTAATCAAATAATTACGTCCTTTCAACTCATTTATTTTATATACCCCGTGAGTATATAGTCTTAATAAAAACTTCGTAGATGAACGACATAATAAATTAAGACTATTGGACAACCAATCACAGGAAAGAACCGTTAAAATCATAGAACCATAAATAAACCAACTGAGTTGAGATTTAGGAGTTGATGTACTGTCATGCGAAATCTTCAAAATAACTGAAAAATATATTTTTAATGATTATTCATATAAAATTAACGCTTTTAATAATTTTAATTATTTCTAATATTAATTATTCCTTTGATGATCTGGAAGACTGCATAGAAGAATGGCCAAGGTGTACAGATGGTTCACTGAATGTAGTGTGTAAAAGAAAAGGTAATTGTCGTCCTCTCGATAACGATTGTGTGTCTCTGGAAATGGATAATGATTTTAGGAATCATATTTTGAAAGAACACAATAGTTTCAGAAATTACATAGCAAGTGGAAAGGAGAAACGGAGCGGTGCTACGTCTGCATCCAATATGATGGTTCTTAATTACGATTTTGATCTCGAATTTTCAGCTACTTGCACCGCTAATAAATGTAAAATAGAACACGATCAATGTACACGTACTAGAAAATTTTATTATGTAGGAACAAACCTTCATAGAGGATCTTTAGAAACATCACAAAAGGCAGCAGTAAACGACTGGTATTCGGAAATTTTATTTATGCGGCCTGAACTTTTCGATCGCTACTTAATTATACTGGCTGCTAGAAACTTTACTCAAGTTGTCTGGGCTAGGACAACGCACATTGGATGCGGAAGAGCACATTCAGAAGGTAGTTATTATTTGGCTTGTAATTACGGCCCATCTGGAAATAAGCTTTATGGCTCTGTTTACAAAAAAGGTGAACCTGCATCAAACTGTCCCCGTAACGTGAACAAAAGTCGAAGGTATCCAAACCTATGCGGAGTTGCTTACGATGTTAATGTCGCAATAAATTTGCATGATATTCACGACATAATATATGGCTATATATTTATTTCACTTTTTGTAGTTTTTTATAGTTCTATTTCATATTCTAATGCTCTTGACAAGTAAATAAAAATAAATTGCACACTTTTATGCGTTATCTTAAAATGACCGATCTTCTTCATATGTTAAATAGCGTATTAATGCCTTCGATAGGGGCTGCACGACCTTGTCATAGGTTCGGAGGCTTAAGCTGACTGTTCAGATAGGGCTGCAGTCTGGCGTAGGAAGTGGAACAAGTATGTGTGTGTGTGTGAATGAATGAGATCTCCCTAATAAGGAGCTCTCCGTTGAATGAAGGTACCCAATAAAAACGGGCTAAGCCAGGTGAATGGGAAGTATGGAAAGATGTGAAACGACCACGTTAGAACATTTCCTGTCACCACTTAACTCTGGAGTATCTGGGAATCTTTCCCAGGTAGTCGAGACTGGGAATGGATGAACTGTTGCAGCGACCAAGAAGCAGCCTACATTGTATAAAGCCTTCCCCTGGTAATGCGGTTCTCTGCCAGGAGCGACCAACCTTTTCCTAGTTACTCGTAGGAACAACATGAATGTACAACAAAAAACCAATAACCAAAACCAAATTCCGAGGCAGGACCAAAACGTTCACCTCAGCCTGAAGCCGCAGTTGAGGATGGACAGCAACCCCACCGGAGGCTGGACCAAAACGTTCACCTCAAGAATGAACAGCAATGTTCACCTCACAGCGCCGCAGAATATGTGGCGCCGAGACAAAAAGAAGGAGGAAGGCCAGAGAGGCGATGAGAAAAGTACCCGCGGGAACAACACATCCCTCTCCAGCCCCTCCCAAAATAAAGGTGAAGGTGCCCACATCAGAGGCTGACAACGGTTCCATCTCCAAAACAGGACAGGGACCGACAGCTCCCGGTGTGAAGCGCCTTTACCCAAGTACCTCCACGGAGGGCACGCCGCGGAAGCATAAGAAGTCACGCAGTGGTGGAAATGCCACTGCCCCTTCCCAAAGCATTGCGGAAGCCGTCTAAAGAAATAAAGGTCTAAAGGTCGCTATTATAGATAAGGTAAACCTGTACCGAAAGATCACTGTCGACTGGGCAAACCTTATTAAACGCAGCCTGATCGAGGAATTGGACAGAGCAATCTTGTCCACTTCCAGCACCCAGGTAAAAGCTCCCACGTTCAAATCGTGGACTTACTCGGGTGAGATGATCAGAGTCATCTGTCATGACCATGGGGCGCTTGCATGACTGGAAAAGGTTACAGCTGATCTCAAACCGTGGGAGGAGGCATCACTAGTTGTTGTCAAGTTCCCAAAGCTTACCAAAGTCTCTCTATGGATCCCGCTACTAGCACCTCTGATGACCCAGAATGAGTGCTACGAAGTTTAACGGCGTAAAATCCAGACATGGCAGTTGAGAGATCCTAAAGGACACCTGTTCGTCTTCGGAATCGGAGACGATGACATGGTTGTCCTTAGGAAAAGGGAAATGAGGCTGAGCTACACGTTCACCTCATTGACTCTAAAAGCAAGCACCGACAAAGTTAAGGATACCTCCTTGGACCCAGGAACATCAGACACTCAGCAGCCGACGACGGTTGCTAAGACTGAGATACCCCTAGTTGCACAGCAGGGAGAAGATCATCAGATTATCGTCGACGAAGTCTGCAGAGGAAGCTCCGAAACTATTAAGGCTGTCCCCTCCTCATCCAAGAAGGAAATGGACACCTAAAAGAACCAGAACAATAGCTAAGCCATGGGAAGGACGTCGGAAATAATAAGGTTACTATTATTCAATGCAACCTCCAGCACAAAAAGGTGGCATCGGCAAAACTATGCCGCTGCCTGGATGTAACGAAGGATTCAATAGCACTAATCCAAGAACCTTAGATAACTAAGACCAAAATAACTGGTTTTAGCAGTCTAAACGGTCAAATTGTTAGCTTACCAAGCAATCAACAACTAGAGATTACAAATTACAAGTTGCTCTCCAACTAATAGAAACATGGTGCAAGGAACACTCACTATCTATAAATCCTAAGAAGACAGAGATGGTCCTCTTTACCAGAAAAATAAAAATCACGGGCTTAATATCCCCAAGGAGTCTAAACTTTTTTGATGAGGTGAAGTACCTTTGTATTACTCTTGACAGGAAGTTAACATGGAGCTCACAGTTAGGTGGTAAAGCTAAAAGAGCATATATTGCCTATGAGCAATGTCGACTAACAGTCGGACGCACTTGTGGCCTTTTGCCCAGGGTGAACACTTGGGTCTACACTGCTGTCATTAGGCCTATGCTAATTTACGGAGCTATTGCTTGTGTACCAAAAGTATTACAGGCAACAGCGATTAACAAACTAAACCATATTCAGCGGATAGCTTGCATAAATATAACAGGTGCTATGAAAACAACACCAACTGTTAAAGAGGTGGCACTGGTGACAATGATGCGACTGCGCCCAGTTGGTGTAAACCTTAATATAGGAAAGAGACAATTGCGACCTCGTTCTCTCAGGGAGAGAACCAATTAAACCAAAGTTTCTCTTTGACAAACCCTACAAAATCGAAACAAGACAGTATATGGAGACAAACGTGGCAAATGCCTATTGCATATACACCGATGGCTTCAAAGTGGAAGAAGGCTCAGGATGCGGGATATACTCCAGATCACTGAACCTAAGAATAAAGTGGGGTATGGGCAAAAATGCTAGCGTAGTTCAGATAGAACTGGCTAGTATCTCCATTGCCGCAAAAAAAAATAACTCAAAAAGGTATAGCCGGGAAATAAGACAAGCGCTACTAACCTTGAATAGACCACGTGTCACATTAGGGTTAGCAATGGAGTATCCCGAGTCACTAACTCAAGCTTCGGATGGTAATACCATCATCCTGAGGTGGGTTAACGGACACAATAGGCATAAAGTCAACCACATTGCTGACCAATTGGCTAGGAAGGCGGCAGACCTAAGACTCTAAGGAACTGGGGATCTTTTTGGTTGGTCAACTACAACAATCACGAAAATTGTCAAATGTCACTCCCATACGCAAACCGTAACAGGATGGGAAGAAGAGCAAGGATGTAGACTTGTCAGGGTAACACTAAGTAACCTTGGAAAGTCAGCATCAAAGATGTACTTGAAAATGACCAGGAAAAACCTACGCTTGACAGTTGGTTTTTTAACTGGTCATTGCCAACTAAGCACACACCTCTACTCACTGGGGCTAGTGGCCACACCTCTATGTAGGAAGGAACGAGAAGGCGAAACTGTAGAGCATGTCCTATGTGAATGCCCGGAGTTATCGTTAATTCGGCGAGTCCTGGCCCACACCTTCCCACATAAGGGAGATATCTCCTGGTGATTTGTACACCTTCCTAGAAATGACACAAGATGAACAATGAGCTAAGAACCAGGGAGCTGTCGTTCAACAACAACTAACGTAAGGGTATACCGTTGATCGTAATGTGAATCCGACCATCGTTTACTTATGGCCAACGTTATAGTTAACTATCGCAAGAACAATAACACTCAAGTACAGAATATAGAAAAAGGACAAGAAGTAACATCCCCTAAATATAACCTAGAAAGCTTAAAAGAAGATTCAAATATATTTCTTTACAGATTACGACTGGCCACAAAATTACAAAATGTGGATTGAGAAAATATGTCAGCGGAAGAATTGAATCGGTGAGACGAAAAAGGTACACATTCCAAAAAATGCGAATTTAAACTGAGATAGCCATTTTGCCTCCAAGATCAAGTTCCATCTATGGAGTTGAAAAAGGTACACATTACATTACAAAATATTACTTATGCAGAGGTCAAAATATTCCGTTGAGTTGAAGAAGGAACACATTCCTGGAATGTGTCCCTTCTTCAACTCGACGCGTGTCACACAGCGCAAGTGTAGTGGGAGTCCGCACAGTTATCGTTTGCGCATATCCGGCTTCTACACATAAACGGTCAGTCATTTATTTGTTGTTGTTTAGTTAGTGTGGAGCTGTGTTATAACGTAAACAGTTAACAGTGAATAGTTATAGTGTGTTATTTGCGATGTCGAGTTCAGACAGTGAAAATGTAGAGCCACGCCGGAAGAAGGGAAAGTTAAATAAAGAATTACATGTCAGAGAGATGGAAAAAATTGCTAGACGCAAGGGTGAAGAGTTTGTCTAAGCTGTCAGATGAAGACAAAAAACGTATTTTAGAAAAACTTTATGCTGGCCAATCAAAAAATGAACAAGACACCTTTTTAATGGGGTGTATTGAAAGATTCGATGTCAAACGGCACAGACCAACAGTTGATCATTCAAAACAAATCAATGCCTCATTTAAGTATTATGTGATCGTGTCTGGAAATCGTTCAGAAGTATGTCGCAAAGCATTCATAAGTTTGTATGCAATTTCACACAAAATAGTTATCAGACTCACAAATCTCTTGGCGAAGGGAATGTCTCCTCTTGACATGAGAGGCAAGCATTTAAATTGTGTTAATACTATTCCAACCACTATAACTACCAAAATACATGAACATATCGATTCATATCCTAAATATTTAACCCATTACACTAAGCAACCTATAACCTATTTGGATGCTAAGCTAGATGTACTGAAAATGTATGATATGTTTCTTCAAAAACACCCTGACCTTGGAACAAAAGTAAAGTACGAGTTTTTTCTAAAATACTTCAAAGAAAATTTTGGATATAGATTTGGGAAGCCACAAGTCGACGTATGTTCAACTTGCGAAGACCTTCAAACTAAACTAAAATCCACTACATTGAATGATAACGCTAAACGTACCGCTGCTGCAGAGCTAATAGTGCATAAGAGACGTGCAAAAAAAATTTTACACTAAGCTCAATGAAGTGAAAGAGTTGAGTAAAACTAGACCTAATGTAATGGGGATAGTTTTTGACTACATGCAAAACTTACCGCTACCCAGTTTGCCCGTACAAGAAATGTTTTTTCTGAGAAAGTTATGGTACTATGTATTTAATGTTTATGATTTTAAAAACGATAGGGCAGTATTCTACACATACCCCGAAGGTGTTGCAAACAAAGGACCAGATGAAGTCACCTCTTTTGTATTAGATTTTCTTCAAAATGAAATCCCTGCAGAGATTACGGAACTCCACATTTTCAGTGACGCATGTGGCGGCCAAAACCGCAACCACACTATGGTGAGGGTACTTTCAGCCCTCACTATGACCGGTAGATTTACATCAATCCATCAATATTACCCGGTAAGAGGGCATAGCTTTTTGCCATGCGATAGAACCTTTGCAGTTATTAAGAGAGCAGTACGAAAATATGATCGCATTTATTCTCCAGACCAATACAAGGCCATCATAGAAAACGCCAAAAAGATTCAACCAACTTACAAAGTAAAAGAAGTAAAAAATGAAGATGTACTAGCCTGTAAGAAGTGGTGGCCTTTTTACTTTGTTAAATTACCAAAAAGCCTTGAAGATAAAAGAATATCTTTTGCCATAAGCAAATATAGTTATCTGATTCACAGAAGTGACCGGAAAGGATACGTGGTAGCGTCATCGTTCATTGGTGGTTTTCTCTCACACACCTTTAAACTTACAAAATCCAATGATGTAGTGCTTCCTTCAAGCAAGGCTTACGATTATGGAAAGGTACCTATTAAGGCAAGCAAGATCAATGACGTCATGAAACTCATCAAATACATTCCAGAGGAATACTTGCCATTTTATGATGAACGTCGTACTTGGCCAACGACAGAAGCTGAGACCCCTGATGAAAATGATGAAAATTAACTTTCCATTATTGTGCTGTAAACTTTTTTATAAATCATGTATGTATTTTAATATTACATTGCTATATTTCAAATTATTTTGTTTCATGTTGCCTTAAAATCTCATTTGCAAGATATTGAGTGTAAAAAGGGACACATTCCATTATCTAAAATGCTAATAACTCAGACATAGTATTAAAAAAACCAAAATAACCATAACAGTTGAATGTCTTCCATTTACTTGTGAAACTTCATAATGGAACCATTTTCTGTAACATATTTAGTTTTGCAGATAAACAGTTTTTTTTAGTTCCTGAAAAATAGCCATTTTGGAATGTGTACCTTTTTCAACTCACCGATTCAATTATACCAGCAACTTAAAAAATGCATTCATGAGGTTGAAGGATGCACAATCGGTCAATTGTGGCCTAAGTGCTGTGGAACTTAAGTTGCCCTCTCTACTCTACAGATACAGAGATAGCGTAAGAATGGAATACCACGAGCGCTTCTATCCACGTGCCTTATGCACACATTCTTAGGACCGTGGTTCCGGTCGGGTTAACAGCCACGCGCTTTCGGGAATTTTTTTTGAAAATTATGAAAATATACAGTATTTTAAGCTATTTTCAAAAAACATTTGAGTAATTTTTAATTTGTTTAAATAAAAAACGACATTGAAAATTGAAATTGTCACTCTTTTTATATGGCCATATTGTGAAATAACTGCCATTTTCCCCAAATCTATAAAGATGTTTAGTATCACAAGTATTCCCTGTACTTTAAATTTTATATTATATTTTTTGAAGTGAATACTTATTATTACGTAATTACATATATATAAACATTTATTGCTCTGCTCATCGATTTGACCAGCGTTTTCCTTCGATTTTGTCCACACTAATGTTCGTATTTTGAGAACGATTTACGAAGTGGAAATTGAAACGTCAATAAACTTATTTGGAATGCGTCTTAGAGATTTTTGTGAAACAATGTCTCTCAAAATTATGAATGGCTTTTTTTCAACATAGAGACATCCACAAATTTACATGGATACAACCTACTAGGAATCTGCGCTTGATAATTGACTATGTAATCCAACGTCAAATTTTCCAGCGTATTTAAAATAAAATAGCGATCTTACATTGTTTCTATCTTACATCAAATTATCAAAAGCAGTTGTTAGATACCTGTATCAAAGAGTGTCAGGGGTAGTAATTTTTTTGTAATTGTACATTAAAAATTAATTTCTAAGCATTTGTTTAGTACGATTCACATAAATGACATCTCCGGAGACCATATTATAAGAAAGACGATGGCTTTTTCATTTTTTTATTGATCAAATCACCTCCATGCAACCCATTTATTTTATATACTCCGTGAGTATACAGGGTGGTGAATCGTCAAACGGTCCATAGGAAACTCAATGGGAAATTCTAAATTGTTGAATTCCTGCTTCCCTAATTATTTTACACCCAAAGTCATGGGAAACTATTTGTAGAGGACTCAAATATGTATCGAAAACAACTGTTAAAATTATTCTACGACTTAAAGGTATTCCAAAATTTTGCTAAAATATAATACATTTTTCTGTGAAAAAATGTGTATTACGTGTTGCGTTTTGTCATATTATTGTTTCTGATATTTGACAATATTTAAATCAATTATATTACATTTATCTGATTTAAATGGCCAAAATTTTGTGATTTATTGTTAAAAAAAAATTAAGTTGATTAAAAAATGTACTCAGTTGAGGAGAAAAAAGCAATAATAAAAATTTTTTATTCATGTTTTATTATAACACTTGTTATAGTTTTATGTTTATAAATTATCATATATTATTATTAGAAATAAAGATCACAGTAACAGTATATTGGAATTCATTGAATTGTTGTATAACTTAACATGGAATTAAATTTTAGTGAATTAGAATATCTTACGTTAAATAAAGATCCGGTAGTGGCAGGAAAAGGTTCGCGCTATTGCCTGAGTACAACATTATGCGATTTTTCGTCAACTGAGTACATTTATATTGATCGATTTGTAAACAATATAATTTATTGTTCACAAAGTAATAATGTTCATTAGTAGTAGTATTTAGTAAAACTCATTGTTTATAATTTAATCATAAAATAAAAAAATTGACAATTCAAATTGTCAAACATCTGACATAAATATGATAAAACACAAACGTAATAATATATATTCTTGCATTACGTGTGGCCTAACTTTTAGGGGTGGCCTGAAAAATGTATTATATTTTAGCAAAATTTTGGAATACGTTTAAGTCGTAGAATAATTTTAACAGTTGTTTTCGATACATATTTGAGTCCTCTACAAATAGTTTCCCATGACTTTTGGTGTAAAATAATTAGGGAAGCAGGAATTCAACAATTTAGAATTTACCATTGAGTTTCCTATGGTCCGTTTGACGATTCACCACCCGGTATAGTCTTAATAAAGTGGATTAAGCACAGAATACATTAAGGCCATTGTACAACCAATCACAGGAAAAAACCATTAAAATCATAGAACCATAATTAAACCGACTTAGTTGAGCTTTAGGAGTTGATGTACTGTCATGCGAAAACTACAAAATAACTGAAAAATAAAATTTTTAATGATTCTTCATATAAAATTAACATTTTTAATCATTTTAATTATTTCTAATATTAATTATTCCTTTGATGATCTGAGAGAATGCATAGACGAATGGCCAAAGTGCGACGATGGTACAATGAATGTAGTGTGTTCAAGAAAAGGTACTTGTCGTCCTCTCGATAACGATTGTGTGTCTCTGGAAATGGATAATGATTTTAGGAATCACATTTTGAAAGAACACAATAGTTTCAGAAATTATATAGCAAGTGGAAAGGAGAAACGGAGCGGTGCTACGTCTGCATCCAATATGATGGTTCTTAATTACGATTTTGATCTCGAATTTACAGCTACTTGCACCGCTAATAAATGTAAAATAGAACGCGATAAATGTAGTCGTACCCACCTATTTTTGTTTGTAGGGACAAATCTTCATAGAGGATCTTCAGAAGAATCACAAAAGGCAGCAGTAAACGATTGGTATTCGGAAATTGTAAATATGGAGCCTAAATTTTTCGATAAATTCGTATTTAGAGAGCACCTTGCAAACTTTACTCAAGTTGTCTGGGCTAAAACGACGCACATTGGATGCGCAAGAGCACATTCAGAAGATAATTATTATTTGGCTTGTAATTACGGCCCCTCCGGAAATAAGTTTTATAAAGCTGTTTACAGACAAGGTGAACCTGCATCAAAATGTCCCCGTTACGTGAACAAAAGTCGAAAGTATCCAAACCTATGCGGAATTGCTCACGATGTTAATGTCGCAATAAATTTGCATGATATTCACGACATAATATATGGCTATATATTTATTTCACTTTTTGTAGTTTTTTATAGTTCTAATTGTAGCATATTCTAATGCTCTTGACAAGTAAACATAAATAAATTGCAGACTTTTATGCGTTATCTTAAAATGACCGATCTTCTTCATATGTTAACTAGCGTATTAATGGAATATCAGGAGCACTTTATGTATTAAAATATACATTTTAAGCTATTTAAACAATGGCGGAGTTTCCAATTATTTAAATAAAAAAACGACTTCAAAAATTGAAATTTTTTCACTTTTTAGGCGGACATATTGAGAAATGACTGAGACGTTTCGAAATATATAAAAATGTTTAGTGTCACAAGTATTCCCTGTACTTTAAATTTTATATTATATTTTTTGAAGTGAAACTTATTATTACGTAAATACATACACAAACATTTGAGCCGCATAGTGCAAGAGTGGCCTAACTAAAAAAAAAATGATATTTGAGTTAATAACACCAAGCATTAGCATTTGTATTAATCTATCGTGTGCAATAATGGCCCACATGTATTTGATTAAAATGCCGCCGGTAGAGTAATGATCAAGGTCACTTTGGCATATTATGATTTGTTGACAAACGGTCGTGCAGTAATAGCCCAACGTTCATGCCTGTCGATTTGTTTCAGTTTATCGTGTGCACTATAGTCAGAATCCAGAAATCTAGGCAGTAAATTCTTGGAAGTAATAGTGACGGTTCATCGCTATTGTAGGTCTTCCAATGGCGTACGAAAAATGTCATAAGAAGTTACGACAAAGCTACTTGTATTAAATAAATATGTACATATTTATAATTATGTTAATTTTAATATGATTCTTCTTCTTCTTCTTCTTCTTTTTGGCTTTTATTCTACTGAATAATCAGCCAGTACATTTGTTGTGTTAATTTTTGGTCCACTTTAGTGAGTCTGAGAATATATCTCATGCCCTATTATTGGTGAATTTAGATATTTTATTTACAAATCTACATTTTATTTATGTTTTCTATTTTCTTATAATTGGTTTAAATGTTAATTTTGGATAGGTTATTACGAAGGTTATAATTTTATATGGTTGATCTGTAGGAATCTGAGAAGAATTTTGATAATTTTAGGGTTAATATCGCATAGAAGCATTGGTATGTTAATTGGGGTTTTAATATTATCTTTGATCAGCTCCTGATAGACATCATAATCTTTTATTTTGTTTATTGGGCATTCCCAAAATATGTGTTCTAGTGTTTCGATTTGCCCACATTCACATCATCATCATCTTTGGCTCGACAATCCTCTGTGTATCTTGGCCTGCTCTAAGATTCGTCGCCATTCTGTTGTTGTAAGTCGGTTTCTACTCCATCTAACCACCTAATTCGCGGTCGGCCTTTACTTCTTTTTCCTACAGGTGTTCCTGTGGTTAGCTTTTTAGCAATTGTATTTTCTGGCATTCGTATTATGTGTCCAGCCCATCTAAGTCGCTGTGTTTTAATGAACGTTATGACATCTGGCTCATCGAAGAGCTGATACAATTCAAAATTATATCTTCTGCGCCACTGCCCTTGGTCGTTTACAGCTCCAAATATTTTGCGGAGTATTTTACGCTCAAATATTCCCAAAAGTCTTTCATGTTTCTGCGTTAGTGTCCATGTTTCTGCTCCATATGTGAGGACCGGCCTCAGCAATGTTTTGTATATAATAATTTTAGTTCTTCTTTGAATGTTTCTTGAGTGGAAATGCTTTTGGAGTCCATAGTATGCCCTATTTGTAAGATTTATTCGTCTTTTGATTTCTTCGCTTGTTTTATTGGTAGCAGTCAATAGCGACCCAAGGTATGTGAAGTTGTCAACACGTCTAAAGGTATGACTTCCAAAGACTGTTTCTCGTTCCTCATTTGCTATCGGATCCTTTGTAACCAACATGTACTTGGTTTTGTCTTCGTTGATGACTAGACCGACCTGTTTCGCCGCTGTTTCCAATTCTAGGAGATATTGCTCAACATCTCGCTTGCTACGCCCTACTATGTCAATGTCATCAGCATATGCTAAGACTTGTATCGATCTATTGTAAATAGTACCACCATCCGTAATTCGTGTATCTCGGACTGCCTTTTCTAAGGCAATATTAAATAGGAGGCAAGCCAGAGCATCTCCTTGTCTGAGTCCATCCTTTATCTCAAAGGATCTAGAACTCTCTCCCTGTATTCTAACAGTGGCTTCTAAGTTAGACATTCTCATTCTCGTTAGTCGGATAAGTTTCTCTGGTATACCAAACTCATGCATTGATTGGTATAGCACTGTTCTCTTGACACTGTCGTATGCGGCCTTAAAGTCGACGAATAGTTGATGGGTTTCAATATTGAATTCTAATGTTTTCTCGAGAATCTGTCTTATTGAATGAATCTGGTCAATTGTTGATTTTTCTGGAGTGAATCCAACTTGATATTTACAAACTATGCCCACTGTGTAAACTTGCAACCTTTCGTAGAGAATATTTGCTAGTATTTTGTAAGCAGTTGTTAACAGGGTTATACCTCTATAGTTGTCACACTGGAGCTGGTCACCTTTTTTATGTAACGGGCATATCACGCCTTGAGACCATTCACAAGGCATGGTCTCATTATGCCAAACATGAAGTAAAAGCTTATGCAGTGTCTGTAGTAGGGCATCGCCACCATTCTTGTAGAGCTCACTGCAAATTTGATCAACTCCTGGTGATTTATTATTTTTAAGCTTTTTAATGGCTTGGGCAACGTTTTCGATGGTAGGTGGTCTTTCGTTTGGGTTGAAAGGATTCCAATCATTTCGATTTGCTAGGGTGTTGTCTGCTTCTTCGATATGATGGCCATTAAATTTTGCATCGAAAAATTCAACCCATCTGTTTAGGATTGAGGCCGTATCATTTAGGATGTTTCCTTCTACATCCTTACAGCTCCTTATTCTTGGCTTAAACTCTTTGCGCATTTTGTTTAGATTTCTGTAGAACTTTCGAGTTTCATTTTGATTTCTTAGCCATTCTGTGCTTTCCAATTGCTTTTGCTCAAATTGCCTTTTTTTTCTTCTATGTAATCGTTTTTCTTCTCTTCTTAGTGTCCGGTATTCTTCCTTTGCTCTTCTTGTGCATCCAGCTTGATTTGTCTTTAGGTATGCCCTGTTTTTGTTATCTGTTGCTTCTTGGCACTCCTTGTCAAACCATTCGTTTTCTTTAACTGGTTTGGTTTTCCCCAATATTTTTGTTGCTTTCTCAGTTATTATGTTTTTACATTTTGTCCACAGTTCCTCTACATTTTCCCCCACCTCCAGGCTCTCCATTTCCTCGTCCATTTGTCTCCTATACTCTCTCGCAACGGTTTCAATGCGCAGATTATCAACATTAATTCTGTCTTGTTTATCGTGCGTTTATCTTTCTTTAGGTTTGATATTCTTCCTCTGATTTTTGCCATTACAAGAAAGTGGTCACTGTCAATGTTTGGGCCTCGGTAGCTTCTGACGTCTATGAGATCGGAAGAGTGCCTTGCATCTATCAGGATGTGATCTATCTGGTTAATGGTTTCGTTATCAGGGGATTTCCATGTTCCTTTGTGTATCATTTTATGGAGAAATCTTGTTCCTCCTACTATCATGTTTTTAGTACTTGCAAAGTTTATTAGTCTCAACCCGTTATCATTTGACTCTTCATGTAAGCTCTCACGTCCTATAGTTGGCTGGAAAAATTGCTCTTTGCCAATTTTTGCATTAAGGTCCCCAGCAATGATTTTCACGTCATGACGTGGACATCGATCATATTCTTTGTCTAAGGTGTCATAGAATTCATCTTTTTCATTATCCTCCTTTTCTTCCGTAGGTGCGTGTACACTAAGTAAGCTGCCAAACATTCACAGTATGATTATTATTGACATTATTACATTTGGGTTATTATATATATATATATATATATATATATATATATATATATATATATATATATATATATATATATATATATATCTACACATCTATGCAAACGCATGTCAAGGAAGGGCAAAGATCCCTCCCGCTCTTCCTCGCACGTGAATTGCCAGTGTGGGTTTTGTTGGTTGAAAACATTTAAAGTAAATTGTATTTAATTGTATTATATTAAGTAATTATATTTAAATTATATATTAAGTAATTGTATTTAAAGTAAATGTGAGGATAATGTTGTGAAAACACAATGGTATAGAAAACCTATATGTAGCAATAGATTCATAAGCTACCATTCCCATCATCCTCCTAGAATGAAAACCAACCTAGTCCTAGCAATGAAAGAACGTGTCAAAAGGTTATCACATCCAGATCATCTCCAACATGATCTTAACCTCTTACGGAATATTTTTGTTGAAAATTCATATCCTCTAAGACTGATTAATAAATTAATTTTTAATGTTCCATTTGTTAACAGAAATAACATTCTCACTAATTCTCAATCAGTGCCCTCAGCACAAAACAATTCTTCTCAAACAAGTGTGTATTTTTATGCCCTTCCGTATATTCCAAAACTAACCGTAGAACTTACTAAAATTTTCAAAGAATTTAAAAACATCAAAATAGCTAACAAGAACATCAAAACCATACGTCAGCTATATAGCAAAATAAAACAACCCCTAACTACTTTAGAGTCAAGAGATGTTGTTTATTGCATTCAATGTACTGAATGTCCATCCACGTACATTGGTGAAACTGGAAGAAATCTGTCTAGTCGTATCATTTCTCATAAGAGTGACTGTAGACTTAATAAACCCACTTGTGCCTTGGCAGAACACACTATCGATCTAGACCATAAGATAGATTTCAACAATGTTAAAAATATTAGCCAGAGAGAAAAATAAATTTAAGAGAACATTCTTAGAAATGGTACATATCAGCAGGAGTGATAACAACAATCTGAATAAAAGATCTGAGATCCAGAATCTTAGCAAAATTTACAATTTTATTTTGACTTTTGACTAGGGTTTTCTGCATCTCAGAGTGCTTCATGTTTCGTAAATTCCATTATTAATTGCTATAATTATCATGATTAACTTCAGTTATTATTCAGATGTTCATTTTGTTTTGTTTGTTTGTTTTTTCTAAACCTATTTACTAAATACTATTTTCTTTTTATTTTTTGACATAATAAAACCTTTTTTAAATTTCCCTCTCAATTCTAAGTTGGTAACATGGTTGGTAGTACCTAAAATCACAAACGGCATTTTGTTAGACATCAGTTTGAAAGTTTGTTTTTTGTAGTTACATCGAACTATTTAAACAACAATAGTTCCTCCTACTACCTCTTTCTGTTCGTGAGATGTGACTGAATTCAAACCTGCGAAGACGACTGTTTTTTGTCAAACATGTCGTCTTATTTTTTACTTTTTAAACTTTGTAACATGTTCTTTAATTTTTAAGTATTTTAAAGTTTTTAAAATTTTTAATGCCTTCAATAATTCAGATCACATTATGTTATTTAACGTTGTGTTTTATATGCTATGAATCTTACTTTCTGGTAAGTTTTTATAACTTTTATATTACATCAGCCTAATGTTATAACACAGTAATTTTCATTGTAGACCTTGATAAAGGTGGCAAATAACCACCGAAAGCTCGGATTTCAGAATAAATAGTACGCCTTAGCAAAGCTCTATTTTTTATTGACTACCACACCCAAAAAGAAAAAAGTATTTACATATTTTTTCCAAACTAGTCAAAAAATTTTGGACTACCTTATATATATATATATATATATATATATATATATATATATATATATATATATATATATATATATATATATATATATATATATATAGTGCATTAGTATATTAGTGCGCCAAGCAATTAATTAGTTAATTAATTAATTAATTAATTAAAATTATTTAAATATGATTATAATTCTATCACACTTTTTAATTCTCTTATCTCAGGGTTATATTCGTGCTTCAATATCTATGCTTTACATGTGAAAAGTAAGGTCCAAAGAATACCGGAAAATAAAAAAAAACATATATGATATAACACTATATATTGAAATAAAAATAATGAAATAAAATTCACACTCAAATGTTTCCAATAAACAATATCTCATATACTGATTCTCAAAATTTTGTTCTACGTACGTGAAACTTCAAAATTAATGGTACAAATAATATAAATTAAAATCTCAAAATCCCAATTATTATTCTAAATCTCCTAATCAAAATATTTATATCTTTTCTAAAGTAATTGTAAAAATTGTGTTATCAATAAAAGAAAAAACTGCAGAAAAACAAAACTATCTCTCTCTGATGATGAGTGATCCAAATCCTTGTTCCTTGTGGCCTATACTATCTATTCTTAGCAGCTCCCTAGGTAATCAGCAATCTTACAACAAATTGTTGCAAGTTTATCGTCCTTAATGATCTCCTTCAAATGCACGAATCGTTCAAATTATGCTAGCCTCTTCCCCTCTCCATAAACTGAATCTCTCGTTGGCCTGAGTGAAAAATGACTCTTGGAATATCTTCTCTTTACGATAAACTGAATCTCTCGTTGGCCTGAACAGTGACTCTTGGAATATAAGTAGAAAAATATGGCTTACAATATTTTGCTGGATCAGCTTCTGTCAGATACACTAACTCCACAAAAACTCACTAACATTCAACACTACTGCTTACTACCTCTCGGGAACCACCAGAGAACAATGACTGTTCGCTTTGCACACTTGGAAAACCAACTGACTATCTTTTTTTCTTCAAAAACTAACTAAAGTCTCATTCTCAAACCAACCATCCCACCTTTTTCAATCTCATCCAATCAAAACGCGTCATACATCTCCCATTTCTTCATTTCGATAACACAAACAAATTTTTACCTACAATTATAAAATTTCCTAAAACTTATTTACAAACTAATCTTTTTCTACCAATTCTTATGAACTAACAAAAACATATCTTTCTAAAATCTATTCTATTGTCCTAATTACTGCACAAATTTATTTGGAAAACCCGCTTCCATTGTCTAGGATTTCACTTAAGCTTATTCACGTCACTCAAATATATTTTAACAAAGAAAATAATTTATGCATATCTTACGTTTTGTTCAATATAGTTAAGATAAAAGACTTTTATGCAGCTGGCTGTATACCACGTATCACAAAAAAGATGTTAAATATATAAAAAAAAACCCTTAAAAGGGCTACATCAAATTAACACGAACGTTTTCGGAAAAAATAATTCCATCATCAGGTTAAAAGCAGGTTGACATGCCTGAGCCACTAAAATATTAGGTTTTTACTTTAAAGGATTTTTACCCTAATATTTTGCTGGCTCAGGCATGTTAACCTGCTTTTAACCTGATGATGGAATTATTATTCCGAAAACGTTTTAAGGGTTTTTTAGCCCTTTTAAGGGTTTTTTAAATATACCCACTTACAAAGATTTAACCTCTTTTTTTATTTAATTTATGTTTTGTAGCAATATTTATTTTGTTTGTAATACACACAATGAAATCGTAGATTCATATATTTCTTTATATAATTTTACTTATTAATTTTCAAAACACGTTTTCACAGAAAGAGAAAGTAACTAGTTATGACTTCTTAGTGCAAGATATGGCATCGAGGTATACTTACCGTTAACAGTTTAAGTTTCGAAGTTGTTCATTATAGTAATGGAACAACGTTGCCGATATGATGCATCGTTAAAATATGATACATACAAGTCCCCTGGCTTTGTCTTGCTATGACGTCATGCGCAAAGTTGATTAAAATTAGAACGGCAAGTGAGCATATCTTGTTGTTATAGTATCATGATATTATATGATACATGACAAGTGATCGAAACAAATTAGAAGCGATAAATAACCCTCCTATACAAAACGCCTGCAGAAATAGTTTATAAACAATCACATATCTGAAAAAACATCCTGCACACTAATATTCAAACAGTTCCACCCACCTCATTTTTAAAGATAAGTCAATGAAAATTATACCATTGTAAAGGCAAAAAACATGGAGGACCTAAATAGCCATTCTGTGTAAAAAGGGCACATAAGCCTATGTGCTCTTCTCACGTAGACCGCCTCAATTGTGGCTTATTCCCATTAAAATAGTAATTAGTTAGGTTAGTAATAAAATAATAAAATAGGTGCATGTGAACACGTAATTAAGATAAAAAATACCAAAAAAGTCTAGTTATTGAAAAAATAAAATCAATTTTCTTATTCTATTATTTTTATGATACCTGTATGAAAAGTATGTCGTTATGGAGTATGTAATATATGTCTAGTGATACATGCACGTTGTAATTCATTTAAAGGCAATACATATTATTTTATTAATTTTCCAAAGCCTTTATTTTTTTATAACCAATTAACTAATAACTTTATAACTAATTTCTTTATTTACGACGCACAACGTATAATGTTACATCATTGATCAAAACGGTACGAAAAACATGGCGGCTGATGAAAAGTTCTACTGAGCTGAACTTTAGAAATGTGATGTACTGTCATGTCAAAAATTTTACAAAAAAACTGGAATATATTTTTTAATGATTCTTCATATAAAATTAACGGTTTTAATCATTTTAATTATTTCTAATATTAATTATTCCTTTGGTTCGGAAAAATGCACAGAAAAATGGCCAAAGTGCACAGATGGTACAGTGAATGTAGTGTGTTCAAGAAGCGGTAATTGTCGTCCTCTTAAAAAGAGTTGTGTACCATTGAAAATGGATAATGATTTTAGAAATCATCTTCTGAAAGAACACAATCGTTTGAGAAATTTTATAGCAAGTGGTGAGGAAAAAAGGGGAGGTGCTACGTCTGCGGCCAATATGATGGTTCTTAATTACGATTTTGATCTCGAATTTTCAGCTTCTTGCACCGCTAATAAATGTGAAATGAAACACGATAAATGTAGACGTACCAAAAAATTTACATCTGCAGGACAAAATCTTCATTCAGGATCTTCACAAAAATTACAAATGACAGCAGTAAACGCGTGGTATGCGGAAATTGTACATATGTCTGCTGACGATTTCGATAAGTTTGAATTTAGGTCAGAAATTGGACACTTTACTGAAGTTGTCTGGGCTAAGACGACGCACATTGGATGCGCAAGAGCGTACGAAGGAAAAAACTATTTTTTGGCTTGTAATTACGGCCCTTCTGGAAATATTGTTGGTGCCGCTGTTTACAAAAGAGGAGAACCTGCATCTAAATGTCCCACTAACGTGAATAAAAGTCGAAAGTATCCAAACCTATGCGGAATTGCTTACGATGCTAATGTCGCAGTACATTTGCATGCTATACAAAATATAATATATGGCTGTATATTTACTTCACTTTTTGTAGTTTTTTACAGTTCTAATTGTAGGTTATTCTAATGCTTTTATCAAGTAAACGTAAGTAAATTTGAGACTTTTATGCAGATATCTTAAAATGACTAATATTCTTCATGTGTTACAATAGCGTATGAATGGAATAGTACGAGCACTTCTGATCACCCGCCTTAAGCACATCTTTAGGTTCCGTCTCCTAGTTGAAGATTGGAAATCAATATGGCAATTCTAACTTTATTTACAGCTCTTCTTCTTCTTTTTATATGGACATGACTCTGTCTGTTTTTTAATGTGCCTCCAGTAAGTTGTCATTCCATCGTTTTCGTGGTCTTCCTACTGATCGTCCTTCTATTGGGGAACCGTCTCTTGCCGTCTTCACTACTCTATTTGTTGTCATTCGGCTTATATGATCGTTCCATTCTACTCTTCTATTTCTTACCCAGTTTTTGATGTTCTCCACCTTGCATCTATGTCGTATATCTGTACTTCTAGCTCTGTCCCATAGTGTCTTACCATCAATTTTTGTAAAATATTTCATCTCTGCTGTTTCTGACATCCTTTTTGTCCTCTCTGTGTCAAGTCTTGTTTCTGCCGTGTATGTCATTATTGGTCTGATGACTGTTTTGTAAATTCTGCCTTTCGTTTCTTTCCCGATATTTTTATTTCTCCATATTGTTTCATTTAGACAGCCTGCGGCTCTGTTTGCTCTATTCACTTAATCTTCTACTTCGGTTTCGAGCTTTCCGTAGCTAGATAATGTCATGCCTAGATATTTAAACCCCATCAATTGTTCTATTATCTGACCTTCCAGCTCCAATTTACATCTTAGTAAATTTGCTGTTGTGATCATGCATTTTGTCTTTGTTGGGGAAATTAACATGTTAAATGTTCTGGCGGTTATATTAAATTGGTGTAGCATACGTTGTAAATCATCTTAACTTTGAGAGAGTAGTATTGCGTCGTCTGCATAGCAGATTATCTTAAGTTGTTTTTCTCCCATTTGGTATCCTTCTTTTGTTCTTACTTTTTTATTATTTCATCCATAATGAGGTTTGGCAAGGTTAGCAACGTACCAATCGTAAAAACAGATACTGCTCAAAGAAACAATGTACAGCCTCTGAACCGGATTGATACTATGAAGATGACCACGGCAAGAAATAAGGATAAGCAAAAAACATCCAAAACCCAGATGAAAAATACTACTTGGAATATCAGATCACTCAAGTCAAGGGACCAAGAAATAACCCAAGTGTTGAAAGACAAAGAAATAGACATTTGTGCTCTACAGGAAACAAAAAAAGAAAGGAAAAGGTCAATCAAAATTAGGTGAATACATACTAATCTACAGTGGAGTAGCAAAAGAAAACAGGGCCAAAGAAGGAGTAGCCTTGCTAATACACCAAAGGTACCAAAATCACATCAAAGAGTGTCAATACATATCAAAAAGAATAGTAACAGCAAAGATAAGGATGGAGAAGGAAGACCTGAACATCATCGGAGTATACGGCTCATAAAATAATAAGCCTCGTGTTTTACGACCAATTACAACAATTAGTTGATCATGTCAGAGGAAAGATGATAATATTGGGGGATTTTAACGCTCGAATAGGCAACCAAGTAATACCCGACATCAAACAAAAACATAACAAGAACAGAGCTGTTCTAAATAGTTTAATTGTTGAAGCCCAAAGTTCTTAAGCCAGGATGTCCATCTCCTGTCTTAACACCATTTGCCTTTTATTTTTCCCTGCATTTTATTTCACTTCGCTCTGGAGAAGTTCTATGTTACTCCAAAGGTCAGTCCATAATTTTAATATACGGCGGTAACCCCACCTTTAAATGGCTATAAGCTTATCCATTTCAGGTTATCCAATTACTATTTACATTTATTTATACAAAATGCATTTAATATTTCTTATAGACTTTCCATACATTTCTTTACCACTTCTTTCCATCGATTTCTGTCCAATGCTTTTTCTTTAAAATTCTCAATATTATTTTTTTGTAAGTCTTCATATACATATGAAGTCTTCATATACACTGTCTTTCCATCTCTTTCTTGGTCTACCTTTCTTCTTTTTTGGATTGCATTTCGTGATCCTTCCCCATTATTTCAATGTGTCTTAAATATCTTATTCTCTCTGCTTTTATTACCATCGTTATTTTTAGTTCATTGTATAGTTCTTCACGTCCTTTATTATTCCCCCTTCTATATTTACAATCTATTTTCACACCTCCCTATATCACCCTTTGTATTTTCCTCGCCCATCTTTCTAAACAGTCTATGTCTGCATTTTTAAGCAGCCATGTTTCGCATGGATATGTAGCTGTAGGCCTGATAACTGTTTTGTAGATTCTAATTTTTGTTTTTCTTGAGACATATTTGGATTTCATTAATGATTTCCGTACTTTTTGTTTACTTTTGCTATTCTTGCTTTTATATCCCCTTCCTCATGCCCCTTTTCATCTCGCTTTACACCTAGGTAAGTAAATACTGTAGCTCTTTTGCTTATGCATGTATTTTCTCCTATCTCCAACGTGAAATTGTATTCTTTTTATTTATTTTTTTTATTTAACATCCAATTTTTATTGCAATCTGTCTCATTACGAACAATAAATAATATGTATAATTTCTGTACAATAACATAGTGGGAAGCCGCCCAGTGGCGAGCACCCAGGTAAGACACAATATAAATATAATCTACGATATAACAATTAATTTAAACTTCAACTTAACAAAGTTTGAGACAGATAAACATCACTGACACACATATTATACTGTAATATTTATAATACAGAAATACAAATGTATTAGAAGACAAAAGAAAAATCAAGATAATATTTAGAAAACACCAGAATAAAAACTTGTTATTTCACCGCACTAGGACACTATGCTCTGTTTCTCCAGATTTCCTAGAGGTCCAAAGGGTCTGGTCGTTTTAATCTTCTTAGTTGTGAAATGTTGAGCAGATCCGTGGCCAGCGGATTTGGATGGCAGGATAGTCTGGTCTTGTATACAGAGTTTACAGCAGGTATTGCTTCGCTAACTGTTGGTGACTGTAAATCGTAGTGTAATATGTTGTTCGTAATAAACCAAGGAGCATTGCAGATCTGGCGCAGTACTTTTGATTGGAATCGTTGAAGTTTTTGTATGTTGGTATTACTTGCTGTGCCACAGATTTGTGCTGCATATTGCCATACCGGTTTTAAAATATATTTATATATCAGAAGTTTGTTCTCTAGGCTTAGATTTGATTTTCAACCCATGTACAAATACATTTTCCTGTATATAAAGCTGAGTTGAATGCGTTTCTTCCAGATGTGGATGCCCCAATTAAGTTTGCTATCCAAATAAATTCCTAAATATTTAACAACAGTATTAACTGGTAGTGGAGTAAAGTAAACGTTATTCTGTTGATTTTAAACTGTTAACTTGGACTTGCCACAGTTTAAGCCAGCTCTCTTGTATAGGTAGGTGATTTTGTAAAATCTGTGATGCTTCAGTTGCTGTAGCATGATAACTGTGTCATCAGCATATGTATTGATTGTTGTATTGGTCGTCGTTGGGAGATCTGATGTGTATTTTAAGTAGAGGGTGGGTTCTAGTATGCTTCCTTGTGGAACTCCGGGACAAATTGGAAACAGGTTAGTGATTTCCCCACCTCTTTTGACTTCGAAAGAATCAATCTGTCAGGTAGAATCTTAAAAGTGAACTTATGGGATGAGGATATATGGATTTAATTTTGGAGATAAGACCTACTTTTGCGAATGCTCGAGAGACATCTAGAAATGCAGCAGTACAGTAATTTTTTGTTCGAGTGAGTTTCTAAGTCTTTACCATCCTATGAATTTGCTCTATAGTACCATGTTGTTTCCTAAACCTAAACTGATAGTTCGGTTAAACATTAATCTCATATAAAATAAGCTCCAGAAATAAGCTCAGAAAAAGCCGTTCAAATAATTTGGATATAATAGGCAACATGCTAATTGGACAATATGAAGATACTTCCATGGGATCCTTATTAGGTTTTGGAATAATAACAATTTGAGCAACTTTCCATTGGAGTGGAAAATCACCTGTTTTTAATATTAAATTAAATATATAAGTAATTAAATTTACGCCTTCGTTGGATAGATTTTTTAGTACTAAACTAGATATTAAGTCATATCCAGGTGACTTTTTAATTTCCAGATTATCAATTATTTCTTTCATTTCAGATTTCTTAACCGATTTAATAGGTGAAGCCATTTGCATTTACAACTTCATGAATGGCTTGCTCTACTTTAACTGAGACTTCCCTCTGATGCGGTTGGAATACCTCACATAGATGATTTGCAAAAGTATATGCTTTATCTAAGTCAGTTTTAGCCCAAGTGCCATTTTGTTTCCTGATTAGCATATTCATTTGTTCATTGTGTTTAAGTTTTTTTGTTAGTTTCCACAGCGAGTAGTTTGTATCATCTGAAGGTAAGAGGTTCTTTAAATATTTGTTGATTCCATTGTCTTTATGTTGGATCAGTTTTCTTTTGAGTAGTGAGCTGCCACCTCTTTCGCAGTTTTCTTTTATCCAATATGAGTGTATTTATGTGAGCAGGATAGGACTCGGAGTTGTGTTTGTAAGTAATTTCTAGGGTGGATGTCCAAGCGGCTTGCTGAATATCTGTAGTTAAGTGAGCAACTGCATTTTCTATGTCGCTATCACTTTTAAGAGGCAAGTTTAGGTTAATGGATGTTTTTATTTCTTCTCTATATCTGTTCCAGTTTGTTCTTTTATTCTTATTCTTCAGGTGCCATCTCCGCTACGGAGGTTGGCAATCATCATAGCTATCTTAATTTTTGAGGCAGTAGCTCTAAATAGTTGTTTTGAGCTACATCCAAACCATTCTCTCAGGTTCTTCAGCCATGAAATTCGTCTTCTTCCGATGCTTCTTCTGCCATCTATTTTTCCTTGCATTATGAGTCGCAGGATGCCATACTTATCGCCCCGCATCACATGTCCGAGATACTGTAGCTTTCTTTCTTTAATTGTAAGTTCAATTTCCTT